TGTTTTTAAAAAGTAACTAAGTAACTAAGTAATTAATTACTTTTGAAAATAAGTAATCAGTAAAGTAACTGGATTACTTTTGGGGGAAGTACTTTTTTCAAGTAACTTGACCAACACTGGTCCTAATTACATAGAACAATGCGTAATTTCCAGAAATGCTAGATGGGAAAAATGAAGAGACACTACACGTGCATTAAGGAGATGAAACATTATTGTGTGTATCCCCAAAAGTTTATCCTGTTCATCAGGATGTAGCGTCTCACTGTCGTTGCCCACGTGAGCATTGAAGTCTCCCAGTAGGACGACTGAGTCCCCAGGAGGAGCACCCTCCAGTGCCCCACTCAGGGACTGCAAGAAGGCTGGGTACCCTGAACTGCTGCTCGGCGCATAAGCACAGTTGACAGTCAGGACCCGTTCCCTGACCCGAAGGCGACCCGGAGTGCCCACTCCAGATCAGGGACAAGACCCTGCCCCAAGTGGAGGAGTTTAAGTATCTCGGGGTCTTGTTCACGAGTGATGTGAGAAGGGAGCCGGCCGGCTGGGGTTACTGCAGATGCATAAACACAGTGTGATCTAAATGATGTGAGTCATGATTATGCAGCTTATGTAACCTGTGAAAAAACCCTTCCAGCAGAAAACAAGACAGTCATTCTGCTAAGAAAAGCATACCACTGAGCCACTTAAGCAACGAGTGAAAGAAGCTGTGTGCCAATTATGTGCCAACCAGGAGCCAAACACCCACACCGGCATATTTCCATTAACTACATGATAAAAACAAATATCCAGTCATGCAATAAAATGTAAGAAATGTAAAGTAAACACAATGATATTAATATGACTGAAGATACTGCAGACTCACCGTGACAAGAGACACAAAGTTCTTGACTCATTCCTGACTAATCAAAGTGCCTGTGGTGTATCTGCAGATGGGAAGCTGGATGTAAACCCTGGTCTCTGTTGTAAGAGGTACACACTTTATACACCAACCCTGAAAACCTCAAACTGACTCTACCGTTAATGGAGCTACAAGTTTTTCCCTTCGCCAGCCTAACTGAGGAGTTCAAGGTCATCAGAACCAGGGAGGTGCTACTTTTTGGAGCCTCAGCAGACACGGGAGTTTCCTCTGCAGGTGTTGCTGTGAAGACTGAACAGACGTGGCAGGCTTTGGAGGCTTTTGAGTGAGCACATATTTTGAGTTGCACCACTGAGGTCTTGAACACAGTAGCGATGTCTACAGGGAATCAACAGGCCAAACGCCAGATTTACCAGATACTGGTTTAAACCTCTGAACTAGCT